GTGAGTGAACTCTAGCAGCTGATGAGGCTGGAGTTCACTCTCACGAGATTCGGAGCATTGCCATGGTGACTGCGGCAATGCTCCAAACTCGCGAGAGGAGAACCTGGCAGAGCTGTAAGTTAGAGCTCCCCCAGGTCCTCTCTACCTCCCTCCACTGTCGGCTGCCAGCATTACAGTGCTAGTGGACCGGAGAGGGAGAGCTCTAATCTCCCCTTTGGTCCTGCAGAGCCGGCAGGGGAGAGTGAGGCATGGTTCCCAGTGCTTACCCGGGAGCTACGCGTCGCAACATACTGACGTCGGCATGCGCAGCCCTCACACCGCCCTCACGGTGCTTCAAACAGTACGCGGCACAGAAGGATCTTTCTGCTCTCTCCACGATCAATCGGATTTGGGCCACATCACTCTCTTTAATATAGGTAGCCTTTCCTTCTTCTTATTGCCTTTTTATTAAGAGGCTGGGCAGGGGTTTTGGAGGGGAGGGGCTCTGTAACAGAGTATTTATGTGTATCTGTTTGTGTCTATGTAGATGCATGTGATTTGTGTGTTTGTGTATATATATGTCTGTGTATGTGTGTGTAGGTGTCTATGTAAGTCCATGTAGCTGCATGTGTGTCTGTATCTCTGTGTGTCTGTGTTTGTATCTGTATATGTGTGTATGTGTCTGTATGTTTTAGTGTTTGTGTCTATGTAGCTGCATGTGTGTCTGTATCTGTGTGTGTCTGTGTATGTATCTGTGTGTTTGTGTCTATGAAGCTGCATGTATGTCTGTGTATGTATCTGTGTGTTTGTGTATATGTGCATACATCTCAGCATCTTTTCAACACTACACACATATACACCCCTGGATTCTAATGTCAACATTACATACAAACACACCCCTGCATTCAAACATCAACACTACATACAAACACACACCTGCATTCCAATGCCAACACTACATACAAACACACCTCTGTATTAAAAGACCACCATTATATATAAATACACCACTGCATTCAAAAACCACACTATACACAAATACACCTGAATTAAAATACAAACAAACACACATTCACTCACACTCCATACAAAAACATGCTTACATTCAAAAACACTAACACTGCTCAGTGGTAAAAACATTAAAAAAATATAGAAACACTGCTCAGTGCTAAAAACATAAACAAATTTGCAGGTGTTTTACATTTTAAAGTTGAGGGGTACCAAATATAGGATCCGCCTCGGTTGCAAAATGTTCTAGGTGCCGACCGGGCCCTTGCAGTGTGTAATGCTGCGGTGCTAGGAGGAAGTGAGTATAAGTAATTTCCTCCCAGCATACTAAGTTACCACGCTAGAGAGACAGGGGGAGACAGACTAAGAGCCAGTACCAGAATAGAGCCTGTAACAGACTCCCATCAAACGCAGCCAGATGCCACTGGACCACAGAGAAGCCACCCTCCTGCATTAAAAAGGTATGGGGGGGTGGCTAAAAATATGTAATGTGATCTTTGTGCATTTTATCTGTGTTTATATGTATATCTGTGTGTCAATGTGTGTCTGTATGTGTGCCAGTGTTTTTATTTGTGTCATTGTGTGTATCTATATGGGTTTCAGTGTCTGTGTGTGTATCTGCATGTGTGTCTGTGTATCTGCATTTGTCTGCATGCATGTCACTGTGTGTATCTGTGTGTCTGTGTATCTGCATGTCTGTACCTGTATATCTGTATGTGAGTCTGTGTGTATGTATCCGGATGTGTATATGTGTTTACATGTATCTGTGCATCTGCATTTGTGTAATTGTGTGCGTCTGTATGTGTGTCAGTGTCTGTCTGTGTGTGTATTTGTGTGTCTGTATATTTGTATGGTGTTAGTGTACTTCTGTGTATCTGCATCAGTGTTAATTTTGGTGGCAAATTTCAATTTAGTTTTAGTCAGTCTTTTGACTGAAAAGCCATTTTAGTTTTAGTTGTATTTTAGTCATCTGAATTGTTTTAGTTATAGTCTAGTTTTGACTAAATTTAAAAAAATGTAGTTGACTAAAACTTGACCAAAATTTAGTTGACAAAACTAACACTAATCTGCATGTGTGTATCTGTGCATCTGTATGATGTCAGAGTGTGCATCTCCGCATTCACACTCTAACACTTGACACATACACCCCTACTTTCAAAGGCAAACATTACACACAAGCAAACCACTGCTTTCAAATGGCAACAGCACATAAAAAAACAAAAACATAGCACTACACACTAATACATTCCTACATTCACACACAGATACTGTATACAAAAACTTACATTCAAACATTCAAACATACAAACACTGCTCTGTGCGAAGTACAACCCTGCAAGGATGGGCAAATGGTAGATCCCCAGCTGGAAAAGCATTGTGTCAGATGAACAACAAATGGGGATCTAGCTTTTTTCCATCTTTGCAATCAGCGGGCCTCCCAAAAATGATTTCAACAGTGCCCTCTCTACTGTAGTTTCACCACTAAGTGCAAAGCAGTTTATCATCTTTAAAAATGGTACAAATATAAAATTCATATAGCAACACAGGGGAATAATATATCAGAGGCAAACTTAAAGGGACACTATAGTTATTAGCACAACTAAAGCTTAATGTAGTGGTTCTGGTGTCTATAGCCTGTCCCTGCAGGATTTTTAATGTATATGCTGCCTTTTCAGAAAGAAGGCAGTGTTTAAATTACCGCCTAAGATCACCTGTAGTGGCAGTCACTCAGATCTCCACTAGAGGTGCTTCTTGGGTTAGTGCTGCGTAGTGTGTAGAATTTATGTTCAGTGTCTCCACGTTCTGCATGGAGACTCTGAATGCTCCCCATAGAGGTGCATTGATTCAATGTATCTCTATGAGGCTATGCTGACTGGCACAGCACAGTGTTTTGCCACGTATGTGCAATAGCCTCCCAATGCTTTCCCATTGGAAAGCATTGGATTGGCTGGGATCATTAAATGTAATGATCTCAGCCATGGAGGCAGAGGAGGGCTGGGGACCTAAAATGTGCTCTTGCAACTATAGTGTCAGGAATACATGTTTGTGTTCCTTTGACATTCTAGACACCATACTCAATAGCAGGGCAGCTGGAGCTCTTTCTACAATGTATCAGCTATAGCACCAATAACAACATACCTCCTTGTAAGCCAATTATTTTGCTATGTAGCCTACAATTTACAATCCACTTGTGATATCTCAGTGTCCCACTCAGGGCCCCTATCCACAATGACAGTCTCTATTCCCCAAATTCATCTGCTATGCCCCACTATAGCATTTCTTCTCCCACTGCATCCCCTACCACGTCACTACAGCTCCTGTTCCCCCATTAGAGCCCCTGTCCCCCATTAGAACCATTGTCTCCCCACTACAATCCCTATTTCTCCACACCAGAGCCCCTATCCCCCATGACATTCCCTAAACACCCAAGCTCCACACTACAATCTCTATCCCCAATTACAACCCCTATACCCTACTACAGTGTCTATCCCACCATTAGAGCCCTTATCTCCATACTAAAGCCCCAGTTCCACATGCCACAGCTCCTGTCCCCCACATTACAACCCTTACTGTAACACAAGAATGTAGGTGGTGTGTGTATGTCTGCATAATGTATATTTGTGCAGCCTGCAAGATAGTGAGTACCAGGGGGCCCCATGATCTCATGATTGCCCAGGGGCCCCATGAGTTGTCAGTCCGCCCTTGCCTACCAGAATGGATACATAAACTGCAGTTATATAAGAAAGTTGTTGTTTTATGGAGCTATGGTTCTTAAAGGACCACTCTGCTTAATGAAGTGGTCTGGGTGCCAGGTCCCTCTAGGATTAAGCCTTTTTTTTTATAAACATAGCAGTTTCAGAGAAACTGCTATGTTTATAAATGGGTTAATCCAGCCTCTAAAGCCTCTAGTGGCTGTCTCATTGACAGCCGCTAGAGGTGTTTGCGTGCTTCTCACTGTGAAAATCACAGTGAGAAGACGCAAGCGTCCATAGGAAAGCATTATGAATGCTTTCCTATGAGACTGGCTGAATGCGCGCGCAGCTCCTGCCGCGCATGCGCATTCAGCCAAAGAGGAGGATCGGAGCCGGCACTGGAAAAAAGGTAAGATTTAACCTTTTCCTCTCCCCAGAGCCCGGTGGGAGGGGGACCCTGAGGGTAGGGGCACCCTCAGGGTACTATAGTGGCACTATAGTGGTCCTTTAACCACTGGGTAGGGACACATAATTGGTTCCCAATGTTCATGTAATATGCAAGACATGTTTATAAGGGCACAGGCAGTGACCTGCAAATATTTTTTTACTGTAGTAAAATTGCTTTTTTTCAGAGAAATAGATAACCATTCAGAAATATTCTAATGTAGTTGTTTTATTGAATTTGTTTTGATATATTATTTAACAATTGAAGAACAGGGCCTCATAGTAAGGGTCTCTGACAAAAATGTTAATTCATCGTATCAGTCTGTGTAGCAAGAGATTATCTCAATAAACTATATATATTAATAAATATCTAAATTAATGTTTTTGCTATTACATTTAATAACATTCTGCAATCATACAATCTATCTAAAGTAATTAGAACAACAAATACAATAATAGAACATGAAGACTGAGATTTAAAGATCACATTTAATGACAATCACACTGGGGATACATTTTGGAGATTGATACATAAAGAAGGATATTTTTTTCCAATGTCATTATATCCACCTACCAAAAATCTATCACTGCACTGTTGAGTTGGGTTTTTATTATTGGCAGTTTTAAAAGCTGTTTTTCTTTAATATAGCTGTTTAATATTTACTGAAAACACAAGGAGCATACATGTGAAGAGCCAACGAATGGCAGCATAGATGTGATCATTAACCTACTCCACCAAATATTAGGATAGGGGATATCTCTTGACATTTACTTCTACATGTAGTTATCCATCTGATACTTAAACTACACAATATCTATCTGTCTGCAAAGGTCCTGTATACAGAATACATGTCTGCTACACCTGAATCTCTCTTCTTATGTCACAATTTTAGCGCAAGCACCATCAGCCAAGTAAAAGGCAGCATGAAGGGGTTCTGTAAAACCAGCATAGAAGGTATGTAAATGTGTTATCGGTTCTGACAATTCATAAAACGATAAAATCCCACCTTCATAGTCCAGATATATTCCAAGGTTAGGTGCATAGTTTTCTAAATCGTCTGACTCGTCATCATGTTCTGCAATAAGTTCATTGTCAATCCATGATAAGCACCAAGATTTATGGTTTTTCCCTATATAAGATGTTTCGTTTTTTCTCTTGATGCTGTTATATGTCATCCCTACAGACCATCCTCCATTACTACTGGTATTCACTTCCCAGTAATGTTTTCCTGATGAAAACTTATTGGTACTTAGGACTTGCTGTGTTGTAAACCTTTCTGGATGATGGGGGCGTGATTTTTCTTCATAACAGTAGGAGGCTTCTTTGAGATCTTTTGAAAGTGCAATGTTCACATCTGCTGTGTTTACATTCAGTAACATATTGGAGGCAGTATTTGTAAAAAAACCTCTATTTGCCTTCAGTAGTGTAAGAATGGCAGGAAATGCGTTAAGGATTCTTGTTAAAGTAACTTCAATTTTCACTTCATCCAGTTTCTCATTTATAGGAGCTGCCATGTAGAGGGATTTTCCAAGATTAGTATCAATAGGATCCTGCTTCAGAAACGTTAATGGATCAAAGATATCGCACAACCTCTCGACCTGATCTTTTTTCTGCTGTAGGACATCTGTTTCTCTGTCTATAGTTTCTATCTGTTTAGACAGAGGTAGAGTAACCTGCTCTTCCTGTTTAGTGATCTCTTGTAAAACGTTTTTTTCCAGTTCATGAATCTGTTCCCTGATGTCCTCAAACAGACCATTAACTCTTTCTTTCATAGCACCAGCATTTCCTTGCACTCTCTTCTTCTGTTCCTGTACTTGCTGTAATTTCATTTTATATTCTGAAATTTTTATAGTTATCTGTCTTGAAAAATCTCCCAGATTTGTTTTCTTTTTCTTGGCTGCTTCATTTACCAGCTCCACCTGGTGTCCTAAATGCTTACCAGTCTTGCACGTTGCGCATAAAAAGGAAGAATCCTTATAACAGAAATACTGCAGCAGCTCATCGTGGACAGAACATTTCAAGGTCTTGATGGAATCGCTGGGTTCAATTAATATGTGCTTTGAAGACTTGCTGTGGTTCTTCAAATGAACATCACACAAGGAGGCTTCACAAAGTAGACATGTTTTGACAGCAGGTGTGAAGGAATCCACACAGTATGTACAGGGGATCTCAACCTTTTCTGTTTCATGCTGAGTAGACTGGTAAACATCTATGATATTGCACAACTTCAGGTTTTTCGATGGTGAAGGCCTCTGCTTAAATGACTCTCTGCATTCAGGACATGTATAAATTCTTGATTCTTGCTGACTGTCAAAAAACTTGACAATACAGTCATTGCAGAAGTTATGCCCACATGTTAGCATAACAGGGTTTTTGTAAATATTCAGACAGATGGAGCAGCTTAACTCTTCATGTAGACCTGCAGTAGCCATTTTCGAAGACAAGCAAAAAATGTTCCTTCCAAGAAGTCAGCCACGTCAAATTTGTGAGCTCTTTGTACAAAGGGCTGAAAGTGACACGCCTATTGTGCTGTAAGTATTTCACTGGAGGAGGAACATTGTTCGGAAACAAATCATAAAAAACACACATAAAAGTTCCACTAATGCTCTCTGCTTAGAGTAGGTTAGAAAAACGAAACTTGCACTTTGTTTTCAAACAGCCTGAAAGGTGTGGCCTCATATCTTTTTGGCCCTTTTTATATGAACTCTGTATGCTTGAGGTACTTGCTAGCCTGATTCTGTTTTATTTGTTTATCTAAGACGTCAAACAGCAGGCTTTTCTTTGTTAGATATATTTATGGATATGTAGGAACTAAAAAGAATATTAAATACAATTTTCTGTTTCCTGTGCAAAATAAATACAAACACATCAAAATTATATAAACCTGCAGATGAGGCTTACTGCATTAATTATCATACAGTTTATACTAAGGGCCATTCTTAGGCACCAAAAGTTTCCAGTAAGGTATCCTTGTTACTGACTGCCCACCTTATGTTTACAGTATATTTCCACTATTTTTGAACATGGAGCTATTCTGGTGAATGCCCAAAAGTCACATGTGAGACTGAATAGATAGCAAAAATATTCTTCTTTCCAACCTTGTGTTTCATAGCATTTCTGGGAAGCTCCCACCCTACCTGAGCAGAATGCTCTTCCAAGCTGTTTCCACCTCCTATAACCTCTGATCCAGTACCAGCACGATATTTAGTCTAACACAATACAAAAAGAAAGCAGCTCGGTCTTCATTTTCTTACAGAACGCCACAATTATGGAACAACCTCCTGGAAGACTTATGTAATACTTTTAAATCTTCACCCAGTCTAAAATCCTTTAACCTCTTAAAGGGACACTATAGTCACTAGAACAACTATAGCTTATTGAATTTGTTCTGGTGAGCAGAATCATTACCTTCAGGCTTTTTGCTGTAAGCACTGTCTTTTCAGAGAAAATGCAGTGTTTACATTACAGCCTAGTGATAACTTCACTGGCCACTCCTCAGATGGCTGTTAGATGTGCTTACTGGCTGAGTGCTGCCTAGAATGCATCACAACATATTGGTATCTCCTCCCTCTGCATGCAGACACTGAACGTTCCTCATAGAGATGCACTGATTCAATTCATCTTCAATTCATGAGGAGATGCTGATTGGCCAGGGCTGTGTTTGATTTGTGCTGGCTCTGCCCCTGATCTGCTTCCTTGACAGTCTCAGCCAATCCTATGGGGAAGCATTGTGATTGGATCAGGCCACCACTTCTGATGAAGGCAGGTCTAAGGGAAACAGGGACAAAGCAAGCAGCTCCAGACTTGAATACAAGTAAGATGTTACTATATTTAGGGAGGCAAGAGAGGGCCAGGGGGGCCAGATGGTGGTTTTAACACTGTAGGGTCATAATGCATGTTTGTGTTTCTGACCCTATAGTGTTCCTTTAAGGACGGAGTCAATAATACAAGTTCTGATCAAAACAAAACGTAAACAAAACTTGGAATTTGCGCTATATGTCTGTTCAACCATAATTCACCTCTTTCATATTAAGGGCACCCACACTCAGGGCCGGCGCGTCCAAAAGGCGGCACAGACATTTCACATCAATTGGCCATTTGCAGCTCACGGATGGACGGAATTGACTATCGTATGGATCAATTTGCTCAAGCCTTGCAGACCATCCTTATGTGTACAGTTCACTTAAATTCTAAAACACGGGATAGTGCTCCTACCCCTCCGGTTCCTGTACCTGAAACCATACCTACGGTTCCAGCTCATACAGTACATATGACATCTCCACAACGTTATAGTGGAGATCCTAAGTCATGCTGTGGGTTTCTTAACCAAATTGACATTCATTTGGTTATGAACCCACGTTCATATCGTAACGATAGGTCCAAGATAGCTTTTTTGATAAACCACCTGTCAGATAGAGCCTTGGCTTGGGCTAATCCTATTTGGGAGTCTAGTTCTTCTACTTTCTATTCATATAATAACTTTATCTTAGCTTTCAGAAAGACATTTGATATGCCTGGTAGAGTCACTTCTGCAGGTAAATCTCTTATGAGAATCAAGCAAAGTAACAGATCGGTACCTTAGCATCCAAAGTTGTCTGGAATAATGACTCTCTAGTTACTGCCTTCCAGGAAGGATTGGCTGCATACATACTAGACAAAATAGCATCTAGAGAAATACCTATATTACTTGAGGATCTTATGGATTTCTGTATACTTACAGATGATCGTATAAGAGAGAGACATACACATAGAGAGAATCAAAGACAATTTGACTCTTATTCAGTCCCCAGTCTACCATCCACAGTTTTATTGGCATTACCACCTCCTGCTTCACCACCAGAACTCATGCAGTTGGAAGTTACTAAATTAACTGAACCTGAAAAGACATATAGAAGAAAGAATGGTTTAGGTTTATATTGCGGTAAAAAGGGGCATCTGAGAAAGGAATGTCATAGCAGGCCGGAAAACTTCAGCACCTAAGGCCTAGTCAGGGGTCGGCCTTGGGTGTTATGACATTATCCCCTTCTACTTCCAATACCAACACCAAACTTACTATTACTCTCATTTTATATGTCAATGGTAACACCATCACCACTAAAAAACTTGATAGATTCAGGTGCAGTGGACAATCTTATGGACCAAGATTTTACCACATATTTTAACAAAAAAGGCTACACACTTGGCCATTGAGGCCATAGATGGTAGACCATTAGACTAACCTCTAGTCACACATAAAACTCAGGAACTATGTATGTCTGTAGGGGCATTGCATAAAGAAAACTTGACATTTCAGGTATTGCATTCTCCCTTTTATCCAATTGTACTAGGTTTCCCTTGGTTACTAAGACACAACCCTGTTATTGATTGGATAAAAGCAGACATAATGTTCTGGGGGGGAAGGAATGTTACGCTAAGTGCCTTCAACAGGTACATCCTATTTGTACTTTGAACGTACCAACCGCCTCTCCTTTTGTCTGTACCTACGCAATATGCTGATCTTGCGGAAGTACTTGAGAAAGGGGAGGCTGATAAGCTACCCCCACATCGCACATATTATTGTGCTATAGAATTGTTGAAGGGCACTATGCCTCCTAGGGGTCGAGTCCACCCTCTTTCACAGAATAAAAATAGAATCATGGAGGAATTTATTCAGGAATCCTTAAAGAAAGGATTTATTAGAAGATCCTCATCCCCTGTCAGGGCGGGATTCTTTTTCGTCTCCAAGAAAGAGGGTGATTTGAGAACTTGTATTGATTACAGGGGTCTCAATGGGATCACTGTTTGTAATGCTTCCACATTCCACTGATAACCAAGTTATTTGATCGTTGTAACAGATACCCTGTTTATTGCCTGGCCATCAGACTTGTAACATTGTTAACAGTTGAACTCACAACCCTATAACCCCAACATACGAATTGGAAGCGAACAGCCCTGTTAATTTGTTCGTATAACCAAACAAACTGTCGAACAAGAGTTCACTGGGTGGCCGTAGATTTGTATGCACAAACACGTGGCGGCGGCCATCTTGTTTTGTCGAACGCGTCCAACGGGGTTAGGTCGTCGAGTGTCTGGAACAGCTTTCGGACACTCGAACTCCCGAACACCGCTGAGACTTCCAGGATCACTTAGATTCGTGCCAATTCATACGAAGGAGATAGCGTTCAGTAAAAGCATTGTGCGAACGAGGCGACACACGACCAGCAAATTCACGAACACTGATGGGGATGGTTGTTCTGTATTTTTAACATACGAAAAGGGACCGGCCGCACCAGCTGAGCCTCGTGTGCAGCCGGACAGAAATGGGACTTCCATCTATCTCCAGAACCCCTGAACTAATTTGCATGATTTTTTTTAATATGGTGGTCCCCTAATTATGCCCTATCAGAAAATATAAGTTTTATGGGAATTGGATGTATATTTTTTATGTTTCTGAAAATGTGTAAAAAGTTAATTTTTTTCACTTGGAAATAATGGAGTTGATACAGCAATTAACTAAATTATCTCCCAAGCAGAGGGGAGGAATTTACTGTAATGCATTGGAGTGTTTAACTTTGTGACTGTACACTATTGGCTGTTGAATTTTTTTTTTTCAGTGTCCCACAAGGTCCACATGGGTGGTAACCTTGTGGGAAACATTGCATAAAAGGCCAGCCTGGCACATTAAACCTTCAGATCTGCTTAACCCTCAATACGTAGCCTTGTCTCGTGTTTGTAGGGAAACTGCATCCAGCTAATCACTAGCTCTTGTAAGAGCTCTGCTATTCTCTCTCTCTACTGGTTCGGCTGATGGAACATCTGGAGCATACTGCAGCACAGCCTCTCGCAAGGGAAAAGGATGTCTCCAACGGCATACAGCCCTCTAATATCCTGGGTGGCCGTTACAATCATGTTAAGGGGTCTAAGGTTTTCACGAAACTTGATCTAAGGCATGGGTCGTCAACCTGGTCCCTACCGTCCACTAGTGGGCGTTTCAGGATTCCAGGTGGGCAGTAGGGATTTCAGCAGCTAATCCTCTTTTTTTGAGGATTTCTCCTTTTGGGGGGGGCGGGCACGAGTGGCTATGCGGGCGCAAGATTTCAGTGACCGGCAGGAGGGAAGTGCTCCCTCCTGCCAGGCCACCTTCTGGACCCCCTGGCATGGCGTTCGGCAGTGGTAAGATCAAACGCGGCAAGGGAGCTCTAACCTCTCTGCTCTGCTCCCTCGCGCAATGTTTTCTGATGCTGCGGGAGCCGGAATATGATGTCATATTCCGGCTCCCGGCATCAGTAGACAGCCCGCAAGGGAGCAGAACAGAGAGGTTAGAGCTCCCTCGCCACCTCGGATTTGAACTCTGCCGCCCACTGAAGTGAAGCCCCACTGGACTCCAGGGACAGATCCACACCAGCTCTCCAGGTAGGTGTGTGTATGTTTGTCTGTGTGTCTGTGTTTCTCTGTGAGTGTGTGTGTGTCTGTAAGTGTATGTGTGAGTGTTTGTCTGTGAGTGTGTGTGTCTGTAAGTGTATGTGTGTGTTTGTCTGTAAGTGTATGTGTGTGTTTGTATGTGAGCAGAGTACTTGTAGAATAGAAGAAAAGGAGCAGAGTATTTGTAAAACAGAGAAAGAAGGCGCAAAGTACTTGTAGAATAGGAGAAAGAAGGAGTAGAGTACTTGCAAAAAAGGAGAAAGAATGAAAATAAAAAGGAAAAGGAGAGAATTGTTGTTGGCAATTATAAGTAAGCAATTATAGTAAGTGGGCTGCCTAGCTCAG